CGCCTTTGGTAACAGCTCCCTTAGGGAAATTGTGGTCCATGCTTTTATTTTTGAGCTCTTTTGAAACAACAGCCTTACTTAAGAAATAATTCATCTGCCACACAATTCCCCGATTTAAAGCGTACAATTCAAGGTTTTTTATATACTGACAGACTTATACAACCATCACCACAACAAATTTTGACATTTTCATTATCCCTCACAAGGAGCCCTGTACCCGTAAGTCCCCCCTCATTTCTTCCCAGACCACCCCGCCCAACCAAGGCAACCACCAGTCTGCTTTCCGTCTCTATTTGTTTGCCTGTCCTAAATATGTTACAAATGGAAACACACAATAGTCTTTTGTGACTGCTTTCTTTCACTTTGAATATTTTCAAGGATTATCTATGATGTAGCATGTACCAGTACTTTGTACCTTTTTTCCTTCCTTCGCTCCCTCCCTCCCTTCCTCCTTTCCTTCTTTTTTTTTTTTCTTTCTTGTGGTGTTGGGTATTGAACCTAGGCCCTTACACATATGTTCTACCATTGAGCTATATCCTCAGCCCTTCATTTCTTTTGTTTGTTTGTTTGTTTTTGGTACCCGGGATCAAACTCAGGATCTTGAGCTTGCGAGACAGGTGGCAGAACCACTGAGCTAAATCTCCGGCCCTGCCTTCATTTCTTTTTAATGCCAAGTAATATTCCATTGTATGGACATACCACATTCTGTTCATCCGTTCACCAGTCGATGGAAATTTGGGTTTCTTCTGCATTTGATTAATATGAGTGATGCTGCTAAGAATATTCATACATAAGCTTTTGTGCAGACATATGGTTTAATTTCTCATGCTTTTTTTTACATAGTATATACGTATTATTTATTCTGTGGTTATCTTTGTCCACATTCAACTTAACTTCTTACAGTTGAAAATATTCCAGTGTCTTTCCTCTAAAGAACAGCTGAAAAGAAATGTGCTCGTGAATGGAGCACTGGGTTCATTCATCAGTTGCAAGTGTGTGAAATGGAAATGGTTTCCCAAGGATGGGAAGGGGTGTTTATTGTATCCTAGACTGAATCAGAGTCTAGCGGATTTGACATCCATTTCCTCTTAAGGTGGGGCCTCTTCTGCCCCCATAGCCCATTCCAGTGATCCTAGAGTTAGGCCCCTGCTGTTCCCACTGCAGGCTTTCCCGCCTCAACAATGAAGACACAGTCCAGTTGCTCAGGTCACACAGTTGGAGGTGACTCTGGTACCCTCTTTCACTTTCCAGTCCTATAACTCTTACTGATCTGTATTCAACATATATATAGGATCTGAGCACTTGTCAACCTGGCTTAAACTTTGATCATCTTCCCCTAGACTAGGACAACAGTCTCCTCATTGGTTTCTCTACTTCAGCCTTTGTCCCCATAATCTGTTTTCTCCCCAGCAACCTCATCCTTTCCTGCTCTGCTCTGCCCCGTACCCTCACATGGTTTCTGGCTTCCTCAGCACCAAAGCCAAAATCCTCTTGTTGATCACAAGATCCTGTGAGTTCTGGCACCTCACCGCCACCAGGTTTTACCTCCTACCTCCTCTTTCTCCTCCTCCTCAGTCCTTTGCAACCTCTGGAAATGTGGCAGAAGATTAGGGCATGGCACACTGGCTGGGGAAGTGGTCAGGGCCTGCCGATTACAAAGTTCCAGGATACAGGAGCAGTACAGGTTCCAAAGCCCTGCACCTAGAACTTCTTGAGGACCAGCCATGATGCACATAGATTGGTGGGCGTCAAGCTACAGGTCCCGCAGACATGTTGCAGATACTGACTTGCTTCCAGAATAGGGAAGTCTTTGCAGAAGGCTGCAGGCTTCCCGGCTGGGTGGGAAGAAATCCCATAACCGAGTCTCTGATGAGGCAAGGTAACATTTGCTGAGGACTGCACAAAGAAAGCAAGTGCCCAGATATGAGGAAGGATCTTAACTTGCTTTTTTTGTTATGCTAAATTTCTTCCTCATTCTACTGCCTCATTCTTACTGCAGTTGCTCTTCCAAGAAAAGTATACTCTCCCTCCCCCTGCGCTTCTCCCTGGCTAATAAGAGTGGGCCAGCCAAAGAGGTCTTGTCTTTAGCCCAGTCTGAAGCACTGATCTCCTTGTCCCTCTGTACCTGCAAATGGGTCTTTTTCTTTCTTTATCCCTCACAGTACTCCTCTGGGCAGGCAACTAAGGTCTGATTGGTGCTCAGTAACCAACGGAGAGTGTTGTTCTGATTCTTCTTGTGAAAACTTGAGCAGGTTTTTTTCTGTTTTTTGTTTTTTTTTTTTTGTTTTTTGAGACAGGGTCTCACTATGTAGTTGAGACTGACCTGGAACTCACTATGTAGCCCAGGTTGGTCTCGAACTCACAGCGATCCTCCTGCCTCAGCCTCCCGAGGGCTGGGATTACAGGTGTGCGCCACCACGCCTGGCTTTGAGCAGCTTTTGATAGGACAGCCTAGACCTGATGTCAGTTTGAAGGGGGCAGATACAAAAGACAGCCACCATGTTTCTCGTGCTCTCTTTCACAGTGGTCTCCTTTCATCCTGTGGAATGTACTTCTTTTCCTATTTTTAACTGACTTACATTTGCTCTGCAGAATGTGTCTGTTTTCTTTTCATACCTTTAATAAACGTAAAACCTCACTACTTTTTGCGCTTGTCATGACCAATTCTTTGCTCAAGACAGAAAGAACCTAGAAACCATCTCTAGAAGGAGACGCCAACACCCCAAAATCCGTTAACAGGACTGCTCTGCAAGCTGGCCCGCTCTGCTCCTGCCCAGGGCCTTTGCCCTTGCTGCCACACTCCTGCCCTGACAGCCACAGAGCAGCCTGCCTCACAGTCCTTAACCTGGCCTATGGGACAGGTTTCCCTTGAGGCCGTCCTGGGGAGAGCTGAGCCTCACCGCACTACTTCCCAACCCTCTCACACTGTTTGGTCTTTTCACCTTGGCACTTCTCACCTTCTCAAGTAGTACAGGCTTTACTTTTTATTATGTTTTTTGTTCTTCCCTCCTCCCATCTACCCCCTTGCCAACACAAAGATGGCACAGATTTTCCACTGTTTTGTTCTAGAGTCTGGCACAGTGCCTGGCAGGCAGCAGGGACCTAAGAGATACGTGTTCAGTGAATACACAGCAGGTTGTTCAGTGGGATCAGTTCATCCCAAGTTGTTTCGCCGCCCCCACCCACTTCCTCTCCAAACACAAATGACTTGGAGGAAGTCAGGTTTTTTGTTCCAAGCCCTGCAGCTAATTTCCTACTTGGAGGTATTCTCTGAAACCTCCTTACAAATGTACTTTGGGTGAACATTTCCCTATGAAGTCTCATTTGCATTTATCTGCCATCTTCTGGGGATGCCAGAAGGTGAAAGGTGCAACAACCAAAGTCTCCTTATAAAAAAAAAAAAAAAAAAAGAGACCCTAGATTAAGAGTTCTTAAAAAGGGGCCCGAGTTGTAGCTCAGTGGTTCCACCACCTGCCTCGCAAAGTCCCGAGTTCGATCCCCGGTCCAAAAAACAAAAACAAAAAAAGAGTTCTTAAAAAATTTTAAAAAGTAAAAAAAGAAAGAGACCCTGGGGTTCTTTCTGCCTAAATTTTCTATGGGTCAAAACTTATGTTCATTAATTTATTCATTGGCAGATCTAGGTTTCACAAACAATACATACTTTTGGGAAGGCCATCTTTAAAGAAAAAATGCAAAACTGCAAGTATAAAACTAGAAACCCAAGTAGCATTTATTTAATGTGAAAACAAATCACTATGAACTACAAACTAAAAAAAAAAAAAAAAAAAATCTAGGTGGGCATGGTGGCGCATGCCTGTAATCCGCGCATCCAGGAGGCTAAGGTAGGAGAATCGCCATGAGTTCGAGGCCAGCCTGAACTACATAGTGAGTCCCCATCTCAAAAACAAAACAAAACAAAAACCTGACAAATACCACAACACAAAACCCCAAAAGTATTACTTTTATTAATGAATGATTCTCTCTGCCTCTCTCAGCTTGGGGTGGAACCCAAGTTCTTTCACAGGCTAGGAAAGCACTGTACCACTGAGCCACAATCCAACACTTTCTTTTTTCTTTTTGGTACTGGGGGTTGAACTTGGGACCCTGCACTTGTGAGGCAGGCGGTGGCATCACTGAGCTAAATCTCCGGCCCAACACTTTTTAAAAAAATCTATTTCTCATGGTTTTTTTGTTTGTTTGTTTTGTTTTTTTAATTGCAGACTTTTCAGTCAATTCTTCATATGGCAATGACTTTATAATGATTGAGTGGGATAGGAAAATAATTCAGTCTTTTAAACAGTAGTTGAATTCAGGTATGGTGGTGCATCCTTGTAATCCCAGCATTTGGGAGGCTGAAGTTAGAGAATCACAAGTTCAAGCCCAGCCTGGGCACCATATAGACTTGTGAGACCCTGTCTCAAAATAAAAACTAAAAATGGCCTGAGGGTGTGGATCAGTGTGAAGGCCCTATGTTCAATCCCCAGTACTACAAAATAGAAAACAAAAAGTTGAAAAGAATAGTTGAAAACAAGCATTACAGTTATCTTAGAAAGAAATTTAATTTGTTATTTTATTTATTATTAAGGAATAAATTTTAAATTATCTTACAGTATGTGCATTAAAACCTTAAATATTTTAATATTAAAACATGAAGAAATGGGGGCCGGGGATTTGGCTCAATGGTTTCACTGCCTGCCTCGCAAGCACGAGGGCCCGAATTCTAGCCCCAGTACCAAAGAAAAAGAAGAAATGGGCTGGGAATTTAGCTCAGTGGGGCCTCCATCTGCCTCGCAAGCACAAGGTCCCGAGTTCAATCCGTGGTACCAAAAAGACAAAAAAAAAAAAAAAAAAAAAAAAAAAAAAAAAAAAAAAGAAGAAAGTTTTGGATCATTAAAGTCAGGAAAATCCCTAAAAGTTTCTTTTGTATGTAAGCATATTAATCTCAAGGCATCTTGTGTCTTCTCAGGCAGAGACTAATCTTGAAATTAACACTCACTCACCCATTGGACGTTGAGGCCCTCATGTGACCGTGGTCCATGGGGTCCTGGACAGGTTCCTAGGTTCTTGTGCAGGACGAACAAAGAACTGGACATGGCACGGGGCAGTAAGAAAAGGGCAGCGAAGTGCATTAAGGCGATCATACGTCCAGTGTGAGTGGGCTCTGCCTGTGAAAGGAAAATGGCACTGTAAGGTATAGCAGGTTAAAATGTTGAGCCCGGGGCTGGGGATTTAGCTCAGTGGTTCCGCCGCCTGCATTGCAAGCACAAGGACCCGAGTTCGATACCCCGGTACCAAAACAATGTTGAGCCCGTTCCAAGGCACCTCCCTCTGGGGCTTCCAGAGCATGGTTGACAACATGAGTGATGGTGCCGAGTCGTGTCAGCTGTGTCCACTGCATACTGTCCTTCCCATAATTCATCCTGTTGTAAGTGTGTGTATGAGAGTAGCCTGAATGCATGAACCTTCAGTGAGCTCCAGGTGAAGAAGGGTACTGCAAGTCATGCTGCAGATCTGGTGCACCTGAGTCCTGACTTGGACTTTGGGAATTTTACAGGGTAGGCTTGGGGGTCTGTGCTTTTCTTAGCTCTGCCTCCTTGTAGTAAGACTTAGGACAAATGAGGGGGGTGACTTTGGGCCATGGGAGTAGAGGGAAGTGCTCCAGCAGTGAGTGGAGGGGAGCACTCCGAAGCCCCAATTGTACTGTATTAGTCCTGTATCTTGATTGGTGTTTGTGAGATTTTTTTTTTTTTTTTTTTTT